TTTTTTTTATTAATACTAGTTGACTTATTCCTTATTATATAGTTCACATATTTATTATACCACCTCACCTCAGACTGAATTTATTAAACTTTAGCCACAATTTTTTATTGTTTACTATTATTGCTGTTTTTTTTTTCTGTGATTAAAATATTCTATTAAGCTTGATGAAGAATATAATTCAACTATTTTATTTTATTTTATTTATTTAAGTCTAGGCATCGTTTTTTCAGCAAAATAAAATAAAATAAAATATATAGTATTATTTAAAACTTGACCGGATCGAGTTAATTAATGGCATCGAAATTTAATACATGTGAGTTGGATGGGAATTGAATAAAAGACGGCAAGATCAGCGTTCTTCCCTCTTTCTATTTTTTGGAAGTTGATGAACTCTACACACTGCAGAATCAGCTATCATGCTTGTCATCGCAGTTTTGGGAAACGAGTTATAAATGCCTTGCGCTCTAAACGGCGTCGTAGTTTGGGTAAATTACATTTTGATCCTTATATATTTAACAGCATCCCACTTTTCTCTCAATTGCATAAACTCTTCCCATATCATTCATATATTTTCCAAAAGTGTAATTATTTAAGAAATAAAACACCTTTTTTTTATGAGATATTTGAAACAAATAACACCTAAATTAAAATTAAAATTAGCAAATTTTTATAGGACTCTGCCTATCTTATTTAGATTTTTATCATGTTAATTGCTTTTATTTTCTTGCTTGACTTGATAAATTTATAGAGTTTTGTAAGGAAAAAAAATAACTTCTCTTAATTTATTTTAATTTTTCTGGAATAAATACTTGAGCATGTTTGTAATATTGAATGGTATGAGATGAAAATAAAATTAAAAAAATTATATTCAAGTTCTAACATGTTTTATTTTAATTAAAAATTCTTGAGTTTGAATCTTCCTTTGATTTAAAAAAATAACAATAGTAATTGATGAAGTATGGAAAAAAAAGAAAAAGGAAACACATATGTATAGACAAAAAAGGACAACTAATTAGAGTTAACTACAATAATGCCATTCTCAATTTGTACGGAATTCGTTATCCAATTTTCGTTAAAAAAGGCATACCTCTTTTGCAAACGTTTTGGAAAACTACGAGGATGATTTTGAAGAAAACTTAGCACCAGAACACAGTGAAATATTCGAAAATCTATAGAAAAACTATATTTTAAGCGTTTTTGTTCCATTTTTCTTTTCTTGAAAAGACCAAACAACTTTATCTGCCTGTAAGAAAAGACACCGATTATTTATAACAAAAGACTATCTGTTTCACGTCTTCATCATTCAATCTCCAGAAGTCTTCTGATCTCTGCGTAAAAAGTGGTGCTGGACACAGAAACCCCCAAAAACCAGAAAAAGATGGCGCAAGAATCATCAATCAACACAGCTTCACGTAGAACCAGAATACTACACAACCATCTTGTTCAATCTCATTCAAAACCCACTTCTTGTCTTCAATCAAATTCTTGTTTAAGCTACTCCCCACCAGAACTAGCAGAAAGTTTCGATTTTGACGTCAAAGAAATGAGAAAAATTCTTGATTTCCACAACTTAGAGGATAGGGACTGGTTGTTTGGTGTTATCAAACAAGGGAGCGTGTTTAATGGGAAAGAGAGAGGTGGGAGGTTGTTTGTAAGCCCTGATTATAATCAGACAATGGAGCAGCAAAGAGAGATGACCATGAAAAGGATTGAGTATTTGTTAGAAAGAGGTGCTTTTGATGGATGGTTGACAAAAAAAGGGGTTCAAGCTGAATTGAAAAAGTTGGCTTTCCTTGAAGTTATTCAGATTTTTGATCACTCTCTTTCTGTTAAGATTGGTGTTCATTTCTTCTTATGGTACTGTATTGATTTGTGTTTTGGATTAATGGGTTGCTATTAGATTATTAGTTTTCATTTCTATTTGTTTGTGGTTATATTGTTTCTTTCTGCAATATCTTTTTTCCATTTTGCTATTATTTTTGGGGATTGGGTTAACGGGTTAGTGTTAGTTTTTCTTAGTTTCTTATTGATTTACGGGGCTTTAATGGAGTGGTAAATATGGAGCTGTTATGTTGTCTATTTGGTTGCTGAGAAAATCTGAGGGAAAGAGGGAA